ATATATATATATATATATATATATGTCGAGAATATATTATTTACATGATAAACGTGCCGTTTGTTCGATAATCTTGCTAACGTTCAATCCTTAACTCCAATGTGCCATACAATGACCATTGAAATTTAGGTTTGAATTACTGAATTTTCTTGCTAATCACTATCACGGAGAATGTAATATTCCAGATAAAGTTCATGATCTTGAATCATAGTGTAATCCAATATAAATAAACTAGGCTATACTATATATGACTATTCTGCAGATTTTTATGCATAGAACGCACATAATACACGAGGGCATATAAAATATCCAAAATACAATATCTGTTAAAATATTTAATAGATATAAAATAAAACAAATCTCTGTATAGGTTCCAGTTTTCAAATTCCAATTCACGAAAATGTGAATTTTCATAAAAATCCGCAGTCTATATATATATATATATATAACCCAATGATAGTAGTTGGGATTAAAATTTAAACAGTTTTATTCTGTAACGTAAAACTGACGCACGGAAAGTAAGCGTTATTGAACGAACGACAGCGCTCTCTCTAATAACATATCTCTGAGTAACTTGTAAGTCGAGAGAGAGACCTGGGAGAGGATCTTCTCATTCTCTCCTCTTTGCCGTCTCGATTCACTTTTACGAGAAAACAGCAGTCAAAACATCCACTTGCCGTTGCAAAATAAAGAAAGTACGAGACAAACAGCCGTAAGATACACGAAAGGAACAATAAAGACGACGATAGGAACCCTCTTTTGATCTTGCGCCATACATGAGAGAACGCGAACCACGTACATAGATGCATCGCGTAGCGATGAAAAGAAAAAAAAGAAAGAAAACCGGCAGACTAAACCGCAGCAGCAGAGGTATTTTGGACGAGGTTGGAGAACGATCGGTTTCGACGATCCGGTGCGAAACCATCCATACGCACCTGCATATGTATATACGCGTCCGTCTTTGCGGACTGCGGTCCTCGGGCACGAGCGAACAGTCGAGCGATACTTTTGCATTCGACCTGATCCCTGGATTATTCGAATACATACCTCCGATCTTGATTTCCCAGCGAGATAAGTCGAATTTATCAAGTTGTTTGGCTCGCGTGTCCCTTCTTATCGCGTAATTTCATTTTAGAATAGATAGAAGAACGTAGAACTCGATACGCGACTGAAACACGGGAACAAAAAGAATCCTAATCTCTTTCTCAATCGCGATCGATACATGCTTTCGATCCACCCAATTGCCTGGCCTCACCTGTCCGAGAAAGAGTGTCCAACATTTTTTTTTTTTCCTCCTTCTCCAATCTCTTTTCTCCCTCTGGTATCTCAAAATCCGTATCGACGAAGGTAAAGGAAACGATAGCACCGGGAGATCGATCCGGGATCGGATCGGACGCAGTTCGCTCGAGCTTCGGCGCTCGTATTTCGTCGCGTCAGCGTGCAGCTTCCGTTGCCACGAGACAACAGCTGTAAAGCAAAACAGAGAGAACGGGTCGTTTAACGAACGATACCGAACGAAAATAATTCTCGAGAGAGAAAACGATCGCACGGTAACGTGCGATCGTGTGTGAGAGCACGCTCGACGTCATCGCATTTCCCGACGAACCGTACGTACGTATGAAAATCGGCCTCGATAACCGATGATAAGGTGTTCAGCTTTGAAATCACGCCAAGCGGACTGCACGTGTAGTAGCGGGTACTCAGCCGACTATTATGATTTCCATCGTGGCATCCAAAAGTCCACAATACGACTGCAGTGATGCCTATTCTGGATCGTATGCCGCCTTTGTTTCCCGCGCCGAGCCATTTCGTTTTGTCGTTCGACCGTCTATTTCTTTTCTCTTTTCTTTTCTTTCTTCTTTTCCCCCCATCACCCGCTCCATCCATCCGTCTTCTATCTTTCGTTCCTTCACCTTCACCGCTGACGAATACTTTTTACAGATAATTCATTCACCTTCGTTTCCTTCATTCTCATTCACCGCCGAACTTTCCCGTGTCTTTCTCCTCGTTCATGGCTTGTTTTACGAATATTTTGTTCCGGATCGTTGACACGTTCAATCGTACCTTTCGAATTTCTCATGGGCTTGTCACGGGAGCATGTCTTTTCCAAACAATCGCGAGAACCCCCCTACCAATAAATTGCTCGAAGTATTTACCTTGACAGAAATATTAATGTTTGTATTAATGTAATTAATGCTCGATATTTACGCGATTAATATCGGATTCGTGTACCGTATAACAAATTTCCAAGCAATTCGATTACTTCTGCACGCGAATAAATCGGTCACAGCATTAACATAAATGCGAACGGTCGACGTGATCTAACGCGATAACACATTGCGAAAGTATTCGCAATGACTCTTGTCGCACGAATACAAATTCGCGTCCGCGTTATCTGCATGTTGTCGGTGCATGTCACGTTAACCGAGTCGACCGATGAGGATTTTATCGTCTGGAAAAGTAAGACGTTTGACTATTTGTGGACCAACCTCTGATCCTTTCGTCCATTAATCGCTCTCGTGATAAGTCTCTTTTTTCGATCTACACGCGCGCGACCGAGTCTCCCCCGTGCAAACACAAACGTATCTTTCGCGCACTTCTCCCGGGGATTTTCACGAAGCGAGCAGATAATGCACGTTTATACCTACACGTATATCCAGAACGGGCTGGACGGTTCAGCCACTGCCAAGATTATCGCTTTCAGCTCCGGATTCGTAGTCGTACACATTTCGGATATCGTTGGCCGGTAAAATGAAAGATTGAAGTAATTCCGGACGATAAATTTGTCGACATATCGAATGAAGCTCATTTCTACGTGGTACGAATACGGAGCTAATCGAACTTGGACGATCCACGTTCGAGGATCGCGATCAGAGCAAGGATCAGAAGAGAGCCGACACGCGAGCTAGAGAAGTTTCGCCAGAGATCGAGAGGGTTGCGGAGAGAAAGAACTCGGAGCGGTCTTTGAGAATATCTTTCGACAGTGCCACGATAATGCAAATCGCAACGATGACGCAAAGGCACCTCCAACGAATTGTTCACCTTCTTACCCTCTTTCTTTCTGTCTCTCTCTCTCTCGCTCTCTCTTTCTCCCCCTGTCTGTCTCTCTCCTATCGTTTCTCACGCTGACGATTCAATCGCGATAGAACGAGAGAAATATGACGAGGAAACGCGGCTAGAAAGGCGAACTGTAAAAGAGAAAAGAGAGCAAAAGAAAGAAAGATAATATGAAGAAGAGTTATAAACGAAAACGTGGGCGTCTCTTGTCCTCCTCTCTCTCTCTGTGTTTTCTATAGGTCGACAAATCTAAACGCGTGCGGCGAGTCAGTCTCGACGCTGACCCGTTGCAGCCCGTTGAATCCGCAACTACCACCACCACCACCACAACCTCTTCATCAACCACCACTTCCTACGCAAGTAACCACCCCCGCCACTGCCACCTCGGAGCCGGTCCACGAGCAGGCCCCCCCGAACCGTGATCGTGACCATCACGCACTCCACCTCGATAATCGAGATTACGAGAGCGTATTTATTATAGAGAGGCGGAACAGTAAGCCTAACCTCCGCTAGCCACACTGAAAATAAATCAAGTACTACCACTGCTACTACTAATACTGCTACTTCTACTACTACTACTACTACTACTACTACTACTACTACTACTACTAC